CTGCTCCAAACCATTCCACAAACTCCCCCCACAGATAGTGATGGACAGACTTTTTAGACTTACTTATTTGGCCTTTTTAAACTTTACTTCTTCTCTCAGTTTCTACCCACCCTGCCTTTCATTCAACAGGTTTTGTAGATGAGTTCTTGCATTGAACAGGATTTGTGTGATTTGAGGGTTTGTTTGATACTTTCCATATGTCATTGATGTAAATGATAAAAAGCTTTGGACCTGAGACAGATCCCTGCGCTACACCACACTTTATGTTCATGTGTGTAGATTTGTGTTCAGCAGTTTCTGAAGCAGCTGCTCAGCCAGTCCAACCCAACCCCTCTGATACCATCCCTCTCTAGTTTATGGAATAAAATGTCATGATTTATGGGCTCAGATGCTTTCTTTAAAGCGTTGAAAATTCCCTCTACATGTTTCTTCTTGTCTGTGTACTTTGATTTCCTCAGTTAGCTCCATTAGTGCCAAAGATGTTGATCTGTCCAGAATCCGGATTGACTGTCAACTAGAAGCTCGTGTGTTTCCATGAAACTGTCAAGTCTTTCTGTAAAAAGCTTTTCCAGGATTTTGGAGACTTGGGGGAGAAACAGAAACAGGCCTGTAATTTGTGAAATGGTGTCTATCCCCAGTTTTATATAATGCTATTACTTTAGCTGGTTTCATTTGATTTTGAAATTCACCGGATTGAAAAGACGAGTTTCAGATATGAGTAAATGGTTCTTCAACTTCTTCACTAACTTTTTTATAATAATCATCTCAGTGTTATTCCAATCCATGGAGGATTTGCTTTCACACTTTCTTCTGTGTCTATTATCTTGTTTCTTTCCACTGCTCTGAGGAAAACAGAGCTAGGATTTCTATCCCAAAGATCAGCCTCCACCCTTCTGTTGTTTCTGGATACTTTATTATTTCTGCCAGATTTACCAAGAATTTGTTGAAACCATTTACCACATCTTCCATCTTATTTATTATCTCCTCGTTTTCAATATAATATTCCAGGTAACTTGTATTTTTAGTTTTAGTTCCATTTCTAATAAAACTATTTAGAATATTCCAGAAACCTTTCATATTATTTATTATTCTCTAATATTTTATTAAAGTATACTTTCTTACATCTCCTTATAATTTTGGTTAATATTCTTCTACTTTTTCTCTTTATTTTCTGCTTCTGGGGGACGATACTTAATGAATAGTCCATAAAGTCTGTTTTTCTTTCTGCAGGCATTTATTGAACCCTCAGTGATCCTTGGACTATTTGTTTGCTTTAGTGTGGATTGTTTTACAGGAGAGTTTCTGTCACACAGTGATCTTTAGAAATCCATTTGAAGCTTTGTCAATATCATCTTCCTCAGAAACTATTTTTCCACTTTTGTTTCAGTAATTCTTTATTAAAAGCATTTCTGTTTTCTGCTGTTCTTCCTCTTTTGGATTTGAGATGACTAATATCCTCAGGTTTCCTATAATTACAGTGAGAGACAATAGAAACAGCTCAATGATCACTAGTGTCGTTGTATAATAGCCCACTAACTAGATAGTTTTCCATCATGTTGGTGAAAATGTTGTCTATTAATGTGGCACAGTGAGATGTGATTCTACTAGATCTGCTGATTGGTGGATAGAAGTATCGATGAACTCTTCTGTCATTTGATGCTTTTTTAGATTGAATAGCGCGATGTTATAATCTCCACATATGAACAGAATCTTTTACTGTTTCTGTAAACATTTTTTCCATCCGCTCTTTAAAGATTTGGATCTTTGATCCAGGAGTTCTGTATATTCAGCTCACAACAATGTTTTTTGTCCTTTCCATCCAGATTTCTACTGTCATCCATTCCAGCAGCTCATCACCAGCTGCTGTCCTGCTCTTTGGCTCGCTCCGGTCTTTCATTCAGTTTGCAGTCCATGTGGATTGTATTTTCTCCGTCTTCTAAGGAGCCGGGCCTTTCTGGTGACGTCAGCGTTTTTCTTAGTCAGGTGTTCATTCAAATCCACATCCGGGCCCTTCAGCCGTCTTCCCTGTTTCAGCAGTTCACTTTGATGTTTCCTGTTGGCAAAACGAATGATTCTGGCTGGTTTATCCGTCTTGTTTCTCCGTGGGAGAAGGTGACAAGTCTCAATGTGGCCCCTGTCCAACTCAGTCCCCTTTGAGAGGAGGAACGCCGTCACCTGTTGCTCCACCGATGGAGCGTCCTGCTCGCTCGTCTCCCCTCCGTTCAGCGTGGTCACCGCCCGTCTTATGAGCGGGGTTTGGTCTCCAAACCGGTGACTATGATGTCATTCATCCTGGTATATTGATCCAGATCAGCCACCCGGTTTTCCAGCAACATAATCCGCTTGTCCTTCTCCATGTTTTGTTCTATTAGTCTGGTCGTGTTTGTCAGGGGTTGCTGACATGACAAACAGAGTTTAAAAATACTGCCGGAAAACTTTCCTCTTTATTAAACAATGGCATTCATTAGAAACAGGCTGCCCTTTAATAAGGATTCAACTTACTGTGTGTGTGTGTGTGTGTGTGTGTGTGTGTGTGTGTGTGTCAGTGGTGGACGAAGTATTCAGATCCTTTAATTTAGTAAAAGTACTAATACCACACTGTAAAAATACTCTGTTACAAGTAAAAGTCCTGCATTGAAAATGTTACTGCAGTAAAAGTATGTGAGTATAATCAGGAAAATGTGTTTAAAGTATTCAAAGTAAAAGTACTCACTGTCCTGTAACTGTTGTACTATTATATAGTAGATTCTTCTTCCTCCTCGTTAATGTAAAGCAGGATTTTCCTGCTCTAATTCTTGAGGCTCATTTGAACTATTTAGTATCAGAGTGCAGCTTATGATTCTTTTCATTCTGGATGAATCTGCTGATTATTTTCTCCATTAATCGATTGGAGTGAAGTAAAAAGTCGTCCCTGCCGCCCCGGACACAAAATTTACTTTACTTACTTTCAACATGTCATCAAGCAGACTCATGCCAATGGGATTAATACAAGCTGGAGAAAAACAACCTATATAGATTTGAAGAAGCAGAAAGTTCCAGCCGAGCAAATCTTATTCAGCACTTCATTGCTGATCCAACGATTCTCTTGAAAATGACCTGCCTTAAATGTTGAATGTGCACTGCTGAATTAGCAGCCAATAACTAGCTGCACTGAAGTCTGAATGTTCCTTCAGCTGTTGAAGTGACTTCCATACACTGGAAAAGGTTCCCACTGTCAAGACTATCGCTGTGCTTCATTAATACACTGGCAAAAGAAGCTAAATGTGTCCACACATTAACTTAAATATGTACTCATTAAAATGAGCCTTGTGTTGTGTGTGAATTTCTAGCTAGTTGCTGAATTCTTCTCTCATGACGTGCACATACTCAGCACTGCAAACAAACTGGAAACATCACTGAGAGACTTTGCATTTAGGAAGAAATCAAAGTGCGACTCAGCCAAAACAGGAAGTTGGAGATGGATGAAGAAAAGAACAGATCCAGCTTCACATGTGCAGATCAGCTCAAATGGCTTTTCCCACAATGCAACACATACTGCATGATCCCGTTACCTAAGGTCCTTGTTGGTTGATTAGCAGTAACGTGCTGGATTTTAGGAAGACATTATAGTTGCGTTAAAAAGTGTCAGTGGAGGTCACTGAATAGATTTGTGTATGAAAAGTGCTGTTTAAATGCAATTCTTTATTAAATTGTTATGATAATAATTTACCGTGTCAACATCGCTGGGTGCGCAAAGCAGGAGAGAGCCCAAACGCATGACACTGCGAGCAGAGATTTAGTTCCAGGGTTTATTAATCCAAAACACCAGGCATGAACAAAACTCACGTGTACAGGAAACTGGTAACATCAAACATGCAGCAACTGGTAGAACATACATCATACAACAATGACCAGACAAAGACTGAAGGAAACAATCAAGCATATATACACAGGGTGAACGAGCTGGGCGGCAGCAACACAGGTGACGGATCAGGGCTAAGGAGACCGGCAGAGAGAGAGACAGGCAGAGGGATTCTGGAGGACCAGACATAACACTTACACTGAAACCAACACCAGACAGAAACAGAATTAGACAAGAACTTAGGCCGGCACAGATCCAAACATGAACAGAACTGAACATAAGGAACAGGCAACTGACTCAAGAGAAGAAACATACACAGACTAAAACCTAATCATACTGATAGCCTACAAACATAACAGGGAAAACAGACTGAACTGTGAAAACAGAATACAGAGCAGACATGGGCAAAAATAACAACCAACACAGAAATACACAGACCAGGAGTAAACACTAAGACATGAACTAAGACTCAGAGCTGGAACGCAGGACTAGAAAATAACGACAACCAACACAAAAATCCCTACCAGAATAAACAAGGCGAAACAGCATAACACAACACATGGAACCAAAACCCACACACAGAGAAGGCATAGGCCAAAATCATATAACCCAGACAACCTCAGGACAGGATCGTGATCCATGCAAAGGAAACATGGATTACAAGGCAAAAATATTGTCTACAATGCTGCATTCAGTTAAATGTTCATTTTGTTGCAAGGAAGATATATTACTATGATTACTGTAGACCAGGGCTGTTCAATTACAGATTCAATTGGGCCGGATTTTAAAACCAGGACACAGAGATGGGCCAGACATTTTCTCACGTTGGGGTCATTAGGATTTTATTGACACACTTGTATTGGTGATCCTTATTGGTTCAGTTCTTTATCGATGCTCTTATCAGTCCCATTTATTACTAAATAACTGCATGTATTATTTAAAAAAAGAATTTAACATTCTTTATGAATTGAATATTGTTTCTAGAGCAGCATCACGATTTACAACAGCAAAGTCACTAAAGTCTCACTAGAAACAAATCTAACATGTCAGTAAAATAAATCATATTCCTGACATCAACAACTCAGCACCTCTTCTCCTCTTCCTCCCTCTGCTTCTGCTGGTAGAGAGGAGGGCTGCTCTGTCTCCACCAGCTGGGTTTATATAATGTGCCATATTTTAAATTAAGCGTAACAGTTACTAAAGACAGACAGTTTTCACTTTAGCTGTTTCCTGTAAATGGAGAGGGAAGGAGCAACACTGGGCATGTGATCAGGTGACAACAGGCCCTCCCTGTTCAACCTGAAACTGAAAGTTCAGGAGTTCAGACTCCATTTTAAGTGGACACAGCAGGAGGAAAACTGAAGGCTGAGGCAGGGTGAGTGTTAATCCAACATTTACATTCTTTTCCTGTCAGAGTCTCTGAGGCAGTTTTCTCCCTGTGGACTGTAGAGGAAAGAAATGTCAGAGTCCCGGTGAGTCCCTGGTGGCTGAATCCACAGCTGATAGTCTCAGATGTGTTGCAGTTGTGGCTTGAGGATCTCTGAGCTGCTAACCAGGAAATCCGTTCAGACCACTTTGTTTATCTACCTAATGTATATTTCTGTAAATATCTGCTTCTGAATGTAGTTTGTTCATCGTTCTCCTGCGCGTTAACTCACTCACAGAGTTCGGTAAAGTTGGAAATATAGGCCTATTCACAGATTCGAACTTCCAGGATCAATCACTCGTAAGCGCAACGTGTTTAAAACACAAACGAGGCCTCCTAACTATTGGAGTTATGTAGACAACAAGCAAGTAAATTTTTACCTAAATGAGTCGTCCTACGAGCGGCACAAATAACTTTGGTCTCTACGTGCAGCCGCTCTGAGACGAGTGCGCACTGCGCAGGGACCGTCTGCAAAGTGCAACACCGAAAACACATTCTGCAGAGATATTCAATAACTTCACTCAGATACAGTGTAGTGTTCCCAACATCACCTTACACATTAATGATATAGGAAGGAAACTAACAGGAAACTCTCTAATCATCTCATGTGATGCTGCTCAGCCAGTCAAATCGGTGCATTCTGATATTGTGAGTCAAGTCTGCCAGTGAGATACACAGAGGAAGAGAGGAGACTAAAGAGAAAAGAGACTTCACATGGCTTTTAACCAAGAATGTACAGATTCTCACATGTATATTCTTCCCCACGGGCAGTTCAAAACCAGAATATCTCACAGATCTCCAATCGTAGCCAGAGCTCACGCTTCTCCCTGAACAAGAGAAAGTTGGGAAGTGGTAGCTATTAGGGCTGGATGATATGGCCAAAAATGTTATCATGATAAAAAATTTAATACCATTAGATATCAATAATTATCACGATAAATGTCAAATCAATATTTCTTTCAAGTTTAAAGGCTGATTTTTGCTCCTGAGTGAAAATTGAAGAAATCAGATGGTTAAACTTTTCTGTATGGTCAGAATGTGACAAACACTTTTCTTCAACAAAATAAATATCTTATAATTAAAAAAATCAAGTGCTAATTTGTTCATGATTCAAATTAATTCAATCAAACACTGAAAATATATTGAACATTTGTTATATTGTTATTGAGGAAAATTATATTGTGATAATTATCATTATTGTTTTATTGCCCTGCCCTAGTAGCTATATAAGAGGGACTGAAAGAGAAGGTGGTATTAAAGCTGTTCATTTGTTAAGATGTGTTGAGTGTTTATTATAAAATTGGTTGAGACTGAACATCAATCACTCAAAGCTACACTTTTTTACAAATAAAATTTATTTTAAGATGCACATTTACAAAAACGTTTTTTAAATCCTTTAGATTACTTAAATTAGAATGTATTATTAGAGTAGTTATATTATCCCTTCAGTTTTATGTGAAAACTGACAGTTGTTGAGTAAAAACTTATGTTGGAACAACTAGGCTATACGTTATGGTAGGCTACTGAATGATAACACAAGTTGATGTTCCGGACCTTTTGCTTTCTGAAATTTTCTCTAACTGGACCTCTTTGAACTTTAATTAAATACCCTGCTGTACTGTCTCCAGACACCTCAATCAACAATGGTCTTATGTTGATGATACTACTAGACCATTGTTCAATGAGGTGATTTTGGAGACACTAAAGCTTCTAACAGTAAAGTTATTGAATATTAAATTCCCCAAATCTACATTTCTATGAAGTGTTGTAGTATCACCAGCAGGATACCGCTGATGTGTGGGGTGATTTTGTAGACATGACAACTTATCAGTGTAGATATCGAATCGGGGACTTTATATCCAAATGTACCAAACTGATTCACAGGGATCTCTCCAAACTGCTGATTAGTCCAAAGTGAGGACTATGGGAGTGATCGACTGTATCGATGGTAAAAACACTGCAGATGTCAGTAAATGGTCCAGATGTGCATGTTGTCTGCTTTGTGTCCTCATGGTGTTTAATGTGTTTGTACTTACATACAGCCTATAGGGAGACAGGCTGAGGTGTTGGAACACAGAGTGGAGACACTGTTAGCTGCACCATCCAGTACATGTAAAATGTGAGTGAACTGTGTTACTGTAGCTGTACAATATAAAGCTGGACAACATATTTCAGATTTACTGGCTGTATTTCCTACCTGTCACACACAGACAACACACCAGCTGAGCTGGAACAACAAGAACACCTGAACTGAAGTCCAGAAGATGGAAGAGGAGGACAGAGCAGAGTCTGCAGGATCCAGCTGTCTGTCTATGAAGAGTGACCAGTCTAAAGAGTCTCCTCTGAGCTTCAGTCCTGAACCTGGAACCTCAGACACAAAGTAAGAGAACTGCTACTAACTCATTCAGTGTTTGCTGCTAATGTTTTGCTGTTTGCCAATTGTAGAGTAACATTAGGCTTCATGAGCAAAGAAATCACATCTACAGCAGATTTGCATTTAATTGAATTGCGAATATGGTATATTCTCAATTCAATAAAATGCAAATCTGCTTTATAGGAATTTAATGTAAAACAACTAAAAACAATACTGCCAAAGCTACAAATAAATTGCATTAGAACAATTCATTTCATACATTTCATTAAAAAAGTAAATAAAAAAGTAAAAAATCGTGCTTGTGTTAAAATAATAAAATTAATAAAAATATAAAACAAAAATAAAGTAAAACATAAAATAAACACATAAATAGTTAAGTGTGTGTGTGTCATCACAAGGGATCTAATGATGGACTAATACATGTGATAATAAACAGAGAAAAACACCACAAATACTTGTGTACTGCACATACAGCCTATATCCCAGTACGAAAAAATCTTTGACCATTCCTAGTTGGTATACGGCGTATACCTGCGTATCACGTAGACTACACCACTGCCTGTAGGCTATTCCTTTTTATTTCTACATTTGTGCCACAGACAACCCTTAAAAAAAATTCTGTGGTAAAATACCATACAATTTCTGTGGTATTTGTACCTCATGTTCCTGTAGTAGCTTCCTGTGGTACTCTAGAGGTTTGTATGGTATTTTGGGACATTTACCACAGGATTGTACCTCAGGCTCTGCGGTACTTTACCATACGTACTTTACCATACGTTCTGCGGTACTATACCATAGAACCTGTGGTATAGACATGCCCTATAGCACTATCTAATACATTCTGTAATAATGCACTTAATATTTACAAAATGCCCATTTTCAGTAAATCTTAAAATATGAATACAACTACAATATTACAATTCAAGTTTGTTTTATTAAATAAACTAAATATGTAACAGTGAACCTTGTTTCCATCAGACTTAAGAAATCTGAATTTATTTTTCAGGTAAGGCATATCTTGGTAAGCTCAAACGACTAAAATGTCTTTCAACAAGGAATTTTTCAGATTCAGTAGGCATAGTTTTAGTGTTTTACTATCAAGACATTACTTTCTGAACAAATCTGAACATGTAAATAAGTTTATATTGATCATAGATCGACCCAAACAACATTACAAGTGTATCTGTCAACTTGGGGAGATCACTCAACTATTTCACCTTCGACTACAACAGAAACTCTCTCAGGATTGAAGCAGACTTCACCAGGAATGTTGTCAGTGACCACAGTGAGGAGTGTCAGCAATGTCTGGTTCATCTTTGTACTGCAAAATACAAACAATGCAATTATGAGTTGAGCCTGACCAATTTATCGGCTGATATGAGCTAAGTGGACCTTCAACAATAACAAATCCATTCAACTGCAAATACCTAAAAGACAAATTTATACAAACACATTGATTAAAACAATGGGTGGGAAATAGAAGACAACCATTACTTTAAACATGACAATAAAAATGGAAAGCCAGTGCGCAGTAAGTTTTAGACCTGAATATTCGACTATTACTTCATTGGGTAGGTATTAGTTTTTCAGTTTTGAAATTTGGATATTTGCACACGCACCACTTCTGTTTCTTACACACATAATGTACAATGACCCACCTCTTTCTGTATCATACAGGGGTAGACACATATAGGGTGTTATCTGGGTACTGTGGACCAATTTTATTGTCTTCCAGCTGCGTGTCATGTGACTATTTTGGTCCAGTCATGATTGAGGGATCATGGAATCGCGGCTCAAAAATCAAGGTCTGAACTGAACCGTCAATTGGGTTGAATTTGGAAAGTAGTTGGCTTTATTCTCCTAGTCATCACATCAATAACAATAAAATTTCACTATTAATAGTAGATTTGTCCCAATCGGTGTTGACTGACACTGTGGCTATGTCAAAGTTAATCTTAAACTGACCTGGAGGTCATAAATCTTTAGGATGTCCGCAGTGCCTCTGCTGTCTTGCCTGTCTGTCAGACCTTCTGCCTGTACAGGGTAGCAGTAGAATAGTTCTACATCTGCAAGCATACGAGCATATATACACAAATGTATGCAGATTAATACAGAGTTTTCAACTTGGGTCTTCACAGAAAAACATTTAGAATCAATTAGGCTACTTGTTTTAAGCAGGACGGCTGGCTATATGGGAAATACAATACAGTTTTTACCTGGGACATGGACCATTGCATTGACACAGTGTTATAATGATTTCGGTCAGGTAATAAATAGCTCAAGGACCATTAAGGAGTTATAATAAGGTAATAACAGCCTTTCACACGGTCTATAGTAAAAAAAAAAATTTCCACAGTCTTCTTGGCTCTTAATAATTGCCAATATTCAGGTATCAAAATCTGTGACAGTAGTAAATTGCTTCTTTTCATTTTAAAGTGTCATACACTGTGAAATGCTTTTGGCTCCTATAGAAGCAATGTAGTATTTTATCCCCAGTATGTCTGATTAGCAAGCCAGCAATTGTCTGCAGGTGACAGTATTTACACACATTTATTATGTACCACTGAGGGAGGAAGAGACCCTTAACTTGCTTTTAATAAGAAGCCAAAACATTCCCGTATGGTCCTTATAATGCCTTTAACTCAAGTCTTTCAAATATATGCAGTATAAAAGCATTAAGTCCATATACTTACTGCTGATGCTGAGATATGCAGATTCTTAGATAATGTATGTCACTCAATAATCACTTTGATCCTGCGGGAGGAGATTTAACAAACAATCTAATTAATTCCCACAAGTCCTCAACCAACATCATCATCATCAAATGCTTTTTTTTTTTTTCAAATACAATATTTTAACATTTATCTGACTCACCTGTACAATAGCTGCTTTTGCCAGTCACGTGATTATGGGCATGATGAAATTCCTTCAGCAGCACCCTCTATAGTCCTTAATGGGCACACACAATACAAACACCATCTTTTATTAGGTTACAAAATAATAGCCATGTAATACTTCTCACAAACACGAGATATGGGCAGAGTTTAATGTTGTGAGAAATAACGTTACTTTCTAAGACTTGGTTACCAGTTTAATATTACATCTAGTTAAAAAATAATACAGTCTATCAAACATTCCTGCCATAAATCCTTCCTTCATAAAAATGATAATGTGCAGTATTTTGCTAAATAATTAATAAGTTTGAACATTTTGGAAGCTGCAGTTTGTTGTGCTGCTGTAGCACATGGACAGGTGTTTATGTCCATCCCATTAATATCTGTCAGGCCGTGCTAAATAACCGAAACCCGTCTTGCATAACGCAATACAGTTCACCTGTCCACATGTCATGACACCACATGATAAAATAGATTCATCAACAATGGAAAACGTTAAAAATATAACTCCTTTAAAAATAACGTTACAGCTGCTTGAGGCAACTAACGTTAAGGCTGATTTATACTTCTGCGTAGGGTCTACGTGCGTACCT